GTGTATATCTTAGATCCTTATTCACTGTTTCTTTTGACACTTTATATTTTTGCCATTTTTGAATGCAACTGGAACCTGTGTACACAATTTCATTCCACCTCATGTACCACATGTAACGTGAATGACAATAAAGATCCTTGAATCCTTGAATAAATGCTCTGTAATGCACTGTTTGGGGAATTTAATATAAAGCCTGATCCTTGTATTTGTAAAACCTTTTCTCAGCACACGGCTGAGTGAGAGATATAACTCTGTTGTAATCAAATTCATTTCAACAACAAACACTGTAGCTATCAGTTACCAGTGGCTGTGTTGCATAGGTAACATACATTTGTGTTTTTCCCCGCAGAGTATAGTCTGCACTGGGATGATGAAATGGTTTCCTGACCCACAGAACATCTACTGTATCCAGTCGTGTGAGGTAAGAAAGACATAAAAGAAAAACCATAAAAGTACAGATTTGTTTTCAGCTTGAATCTATACATTTGACCAAATTAGGCCATCAGAGAAAGAAAGCACTGCTTCAACCAGACCTCCGTCTCAACACGGCTGCAGAATCTGTCAAAAGCTGTTTTAGTTGTAACTGATGTCTTACCAGCTAAACACTTAAACATTCACAGCAGCTGAGTGTGCCTGAATTATATTTATATATATGTTTTTTTACCTTGTCCATGTTAGAAAGCGAAAACAGAAGTTCAACAAAGGGTAAATCATTATTTCATTTCTGTTGACACTTTAGTACTTTATCAAACTAACAGATTCCACTAAACACATTTGTTTTTCTTGTCAGTCAAAGCATAATCCGGTTTTTAGTTTACCTTTCCTGTTTTGGTAAAACTTAATCCTTGCAGTAATTACACCATTTCTGGGTAAAACCTCATTAAATTTAGTGTCTTGGCTAGACCTTTCCAGTTGTTTGAAACATGAAGTAAAAACACGCTGTATCCCTGTTGTCATCACCACTCAAAATACCAGAGCCAGTGTGCAATATACTTTATATTTCATGATGACAAATCTCATGCAGAAACGGATAACCTTGCACTTAGCAAAAAATCCTTTTCAGATCTGTCCAAGCAGCCTTTTTCCAGAGATTCTTGCATTTCCAAATGCTGTTGGGCCTGCCAAGACTAATGAATTATCTGATAAAGGAAAATAAATTCATCACTGGATGATCTTAGATGTAGGGAATTTTTTTGTACACTGACACAAGGTTTTCAAAGTTTTCTTCTTAATTTTAAAAACAGACCACCTCTCCTGTACTAGAGCTCTTCTTTAGGGAAGCGGTTTGCTTTCTTGCATGTGACAACTTAGTATCAATTTTCTGGTAAGTGTGTGTATATTTGCAAGGAAATAATGACAGGAGGCATTTGCAGTTGTATTTTACTGTATATTGATTCATATTAAAAGTGATAAGAAAAATGTCTGTAATTTATTTAAATATATCTGAAATAGTACCATATTCTTTGCAAAACTCTTGCGAGTAATTAATCCTGTTCCTCTGTCCCCCCCCATTTCTCCTTCCATCCATCTTTTTTTTATAACTTTTATGTTAAGGAGTTTCTATTTTCACTCCTGTTTTTGAATAAAGTAAGCTTGGGTGATCTTGATCTTGATTGGGCTCCATTTTTCTTTTGTATGTTTTTCGGTATCTTTCTCGTCCCACAATTTCTGTGCTATTTCAACAAATCACAAATAAAATGTTCAGCTTTTTCAGGACATTCTTGCTACGACTTTTGGTATTGGTGCAACTTTAGCTTTTTGAAATATTTAGCCTTTTTTGCCATCTTTTTCTCCTAGGAAAGTAGTTTAGCTCATTTTGCAACCTTCATATCTTTAGATCTGTTCACAAGCTTTTACTGCTTCTTTCACATTTTGTTCTGGTTCAGCTTCTTTCAGCTTCCTTGTGAAAATTTAAATGTTTTTTTTTTTTCCCCAGCCACTTTCAGTTCCATCCATCCATCCATTTTCTTCCGCTTATCCGGGGTCGGGTCGCGGGGGTAGCAGCCTAAGTAGGGAGGCCCAGACTTCCCTCTCCCCAGCCACTTGGGCCAGCTCTTCCGGGGGAATCCCGAGGCGTTCCCAGGCCAGCCGAGAAACGTAGTCCCTCCAGCGTGTCCTGGGTCTTCCCCTGGGCCTCCTTCCGGTGGGACATGTCCGGAACACCTCACCAGGGAGGCGTCCAGAAGGCATCCTAAACAGATGCCCAAGCCACCTCAACTGGCTCCTCTCGATGTGGAGAAGCAGCGGCTCTACTCCGAGTCCCTCCCGGATGATCGAGCTTCTCACCCTGTCTCTAAGGGAGAGCCCAGACACCCTGCGGAGAAAACTCATTTCGGCCGCTTGTATCCGAGATCTCATTCTTTCGGTCACAACCCAAAGCTCGTGACCATAGATGAGGGTGGGAACGTAGATCGATCGGTAAATTGAGAGCTTCGCCTTTTGACTCAGCTCTCTCTTCACCACGACAGACCTGTACAGCGCCCGCTTCACTGCAGACGCTGCACCTATCCGCCTATCGATCTCACGCTCCATTTTTCCCTCATTCGTGAACAAGACCCCAAGATACTTGAACTCCTCCACTTGGGGTAGGACCTCCTCCCTGACCCAGAGAGGGCACTCTACCCTTTTCCGGCTCAAGACCATGGCCTCGGATTTGGAGGAACTGATCTTCATCCCGGCCGCATCGCATTCGGCTGCGAACCACTCCAGCGAAAGCTGTAGATCACGATCTGATGAAGCCAATAAGACCACATCATCTGCAAAAAGCAGAGACGCAATTCTGAGGCCACCAAAACGGATCCCCTCAACACCTTGGCTGCGCCTAGAAATTCTGTCCATAAAAGTTATGAATAGAATCGGTGACAAAGGGCAACCTTGGCGGAGTCCAACTCTCACCGGGAACAAGCCCGACTTACTGCCGGCGATGCGGACCAGGCTCTGACACCGGTCATACAGGGACCTAACAGCCCGTATCAAAGGGCCTGGTACCCCATACTCCCAGAGTACCCCCCACAGGGCCCCCCGAGGGACGCGGTCGAAAGCCTTCTCCAAGTCCACAAAGCACATGTAGACTGGTTGGGCAAACTCCCACGCACCCTCCAGGACCCTGCTGAGAGTGTAGAGCTGGTCCAGTGTTCCACGGCCAGGACGAAAACCGCACTGTTCCTCCTGAATCCGAGGTTCGACTATCCGACGGACCCTCCTCTCCAGAACCCCCGAATAGACCTTACCAGGGAGGCTTAAGAGCGTGATTCCCCTGTAGTTGGAACACACTCTACAGTCCCCCTTTTTGAATAGGGGGACCACCACCCCGGTCTGCCAATCCAGGGGAACTTCCCCCGATGTCCACGCAACATTGCAGAGTCGCGTAAGCCAACACAACCCTACAACATCCAGAGCCTTAAGGAACTCTGGGCGGATCTCATCCACCCCCGGGGCCCTGCCACCGAGGAGCTTTTTAACCACCTCGGTGACCTCAGCACCAGAGATTGGAGGGCCCGACCCAGAGTCCCCAGGCTCCGCTTCCTCAGTGGAAGACGTGCCGGTGGGATTGAGGAGGTCTTCAAAGTATTCCGCCCACCGACCCACAACATCCCGAGTTGAGGTCAGCAGCAAACCACCCCCACTATAAACAGTGTTGGTGGCATACCGCTTCCCCCCCCTGAGACGCCGGATGGTGGACCAGAAACGTCTCGAAGCTGTGCGGAAGTCGTTCTCCATGGCCTCTCCGAACTCCTCCCATGCCCGAGTTTTTGCCTCAGCAACCACCCGAGCCGCATGTCGCTTGGACTGCCGGTACCCATCAGCTGCTTCCAGGGTCCCACAGGCCAAAAAGGCCCGATAGGACTCCTTCTTCAGCCTGACAGCATCCCTCACCGACGGTGTCCACCATCGGGTTCGAGGGTTGCCGCCCCGACAGGCACCGACAACCTTGCGGCCGCAGCTCTGGTAAGCCGCCTCGACAATAGAGGCACGAAACATGGTCCACTCAGACTCAATGTCCCCCACCTCCCTTGGAACATGTTCAAAGTTCTCCCGGAGGTGGGAGTTGAAACTCCGTCTCACAGGAGACTCTGCCAGACGTTCCCAGCAAACCCTCACAATACGTTTGGGCCTACCAGGTCTGACCGGCATCCTCCCCCACCATCGGAGCCAACTCACCACCAGGTAGTGATCAGTTGACAGCTCCGCCCCTCTCTTCACCCGAGTGTCCAAGACATGTGGCCGCAGATCAGATGAGACGATGACAAAGTCGATCATCGAACTGCGGCCTAGGGTGTCCTGGTGCCAAGAGCACATATGGACACCCTTATGCCTGAACAAGGTGTTCGTTATTGACAATCCATGACGAGCACAGAAGTCCAACAACAGAACACCACTCTGGTTCAGATCAGGGGGGCCATTCCTCCCAACCACACCCCTCCAGGTCTCACTGTCATTGCCCACATGAGCATTGAAGTCCCCCAGCAGAACAAGGGAGTCCCCAGAAGGTGCACTTTCCAGTACCCCCTCTAAGGACTCCAGAAAGGGTGGATAATCTGAACTGCCATTTGGTGCATAAGCACAAACGACAGTCAGAACCCGTCCCCCCACACGTAGGCGGAGAGAGGCCACCCTCTCATTCACCGGGGTGAACCCCAATACACAGGTACCAAGTTGGGGGGCAATTAGTACGCCCACGCCTGCTCGGCGCCTCTCACCAGGGGCAACTCCAGAGTGGAAGAGTGTCCAGCCCCTCTCAAGGAAACTGGTTCCAGAGCCCGAGCCATGCGTAGAGGTGAGTCCGACTATTTCTAGCCGGAACCTCTCAGCCTCACACACCAGCTCAGGCTCCTTCCCCACCAGTGAGGTGACATTCCACGTCCCAATAGCCAGCTTCTGTAGCCGAGGATCAGACCGCCAGGGTCCCCGCCCTCGGCCACCACCCATCCCACATTGCACCCGACCCCTTTGGCCCCTCCCACAGGTGGTGAGCCCATGGGAAGGGGGACCCACGTCTCCTCTTCGGGCTGTGCCCGGCCGAGCTCCATGGGTAAAAGCCCGGCCACCAGGCGCTCGCCCACGTGCCCCACCTCCAGGCCTGGCTCCAGAGTGGGGCCCCGGTGACCCACGTCCGGGCAAGGGAACACTAGGTCCATTTGTGTTTTTCATCATAGGGGTGTGTTTGGGCTGCACTTTGTCTGGTCCCTCACCTAGGACCTGTCTGCCATGGGTGCCACTTTCAGTTGATTTAAGCTATTTTGTGCTCCTTTCAGATTCTTTCTGCTAACTACAGCATGCTTCTTCTAACTTCTTCCTGCACGTTTCAGCTATTTATGCTGTTTCAGCTACCATTTAGCTGTTTTATACTAATTTTAGCCTTTTCAGCTAATTTCACATTTTTTTGCACTCATTTAAACTTTTTTTCAGCCTTATTCAGCA